AAGAGTCAGCCCCAAGTACACCCAAATCAGTGAAAATGATGGTAACAGCTTTGTCAGAACCTTTAAGGAAAAGGTGCTACAGAAGCAAAAAAACACAGAGTTCAGTTCTGGCCAAGTGACATTTCAGATGGAAATGCGCTATTTTGATGATTAGGATAGGAAAGTTTGACCTCCTAAACAACAGACAGCTGGGTGAAATACTGAAATTTCTCTGCTCAGTTGTCCCTCAGCCATGACTTTTCTTAACTTTCTGTTTTGAAGAATACCATGCTGAAATCCAAAGGCTGCAAGCTACAGACACTCCCCTCTATCCCTTTTGCACTTAACTGTTGGGATGCTAGCTCTTACCAATTTTGAATACAGATCCATTTGTTTCAGCCTCAAACCACTTAATTGCATTCTTCGCTTTTCTGCTAAATTAAAGCACCATCTACTGTCAGCAGTCCCTTCCACATCTGCATGTGATCCACTTACTGACAAACCACTGTGTGTAAACATTTGCCTCTCACAGGCCAGACTGGTGAGCATGAGCTGCTGCACATGAGAAAAAAGAACCAGTTCCACCAGACAAAGCTGTTCCAGCAGCCTCTCCTCATGGCCTTGTTCCCACACAGTACTCTCAGAGTGATCAAAGCCCATTTTTAATCTTCTGTTGACCATACAAACTGAAGCAAGCTCATCACATCTTGCACAGGATGGCAGCTCTCCTAGGTCTTGAGTCACACTTGCAGTACCTCTCTGAACCATTTTCAACTTCTCCCCAGACCTCCAAAACACTGATTTTGGAAGACCCGCATGCGGAGCTAATGCTGCTCAAAGCAGAGTCCCTTTTATACAGAGATTTTCTGTACATCATTCCAATGCTCTTTTTATAGTCATTGGCTTGCAGAATATAATCCTTGTCTTGTAAACATGATCTGTGTTGTCACCTCTGTGATGCCTGATTTTTGATTTGGCTCCAGTATAGGATTGTTCAGAGGAGGATCCAATGAAAAGGTCAAGACTGACCTGTCCCTACCAATTTGTTACTTTCCCAGTCTTTGGTTTTGGCAAATTTTCCTAGTGTAATTTTACATTTCCTCCAGATTGGTTTTAACCTCTGAGAACACCTGCCAGCAGGATTACACTAGAAGTGTCACTAAAGGAATAATTCTCAACACTGACAGTAACTTTTTAAAGCTGTGTGACATAGCCCATTCGTAAAATGGTGTAGTGTAGAATCAAAATATAATGGACTGAGACAAATAACTAATGTCTGTCTCTACAACGTTACCTTTATCATTCAAGCTTCTAGTTCATCTAAACAATACATCCTCTATATGGAAAGATTTCATTTCCACAAACCTGAGGTAACTCACACCAGTTATGCTGCCATCCTAGCTCTGTCTCAGATTTAACTTTCTAAGATTTTTCCTACAAAACCAAGCTAATCAGCTTACATCCATCTCTTTGTCATCTCCCATATTTCTCCAGGAATGGCACAACATTTGCTATTCTATCAAACATTCCAAGAAGAATTAAAAAGCAAACAGTAATAACAAAAAGAATTCTTAATTTAACTATTTAAACGCTCTTCAGTGCTTACTGACTTTAAAAGACATATCACTGTAATTTAATATCCTCAAAGTTACTAATCAAAATACACAAAGTATTTCATTGATGCTGTAAAATGGGACATCGTTCTATCCTTACCCCCTGAAACAAATACTTAACCGAATGATTCTGCCTTTACTCATCATAACTGATAGGTTAATCACATTTGCCCAGCTTCATGTCTGAGCCACTCTTACACACTAGTAGTCCTGACATATTTAAATGTGTTCTCCTTTTTCCTTAAGTCTGCAGATAAGATTTTTCATTAGTATCTGTTTGACCCTAAGGTCTAATCTTTGATCTTCTAGCAGCTTAAATTTCTTTCAAATGTACTATGCCTGCTGATGGTGCCTGAGCATGGGAAACCTGCACAGTCACTGCTGGCTCCAGGCAAGTTTCTGGCTGAAGAAACACACCGTGCAAGCAGCATCAGTTACAGCTCAATTGTTTTTCCACAAAGACGTGTGCAAACACCTTTGTGCTTGTTTACACAGTATGTCAAAGCTCTGTTTCTTTTCCAGAATAGCTCAAGGACTGAATACATCAGACATAGCCCAGGTTTCAGTTTGCTACCAGGGTGGTATGAAGGAGGGTCACGGACTTTCCACACCAGACAGACTTTCTGTGAAGCCCTAGCTGGGAGCTGCAGCCAGATGTACAGACTCTTGACACAGATACTCCAAGGTTGAGTTCATCTGCACCAAACCCAGGATTCACATAGATTTTCTTGAATATAGCTCTGTAAACACTTGTATGTGTTGTAGCAACTCCTACTTCCTCTTCCTCTGTTATCAGAGTGCTTTAGGGATTTGTCAGGGGAGAAAAACCACAAAGCCTTCCTTTACGCAACTCTGGAACTAAAGGCTTTGAGGAAAGATATAACAGAATAATTAAAAAATACATCTTTAGGGTAATGTGCTTAGGGAGGCTTAGCATATTCTGGCTTGATCTGGCTGTTGCTACTTAAATGGGTGCTATCAACCTAAGCCAGAGGGACACACACATCTCTCCTGCTCTACCAAATTCCTTCCTCACTTGTTCAGTTTATATACTGCATTAATAAAGACTGTTAGTTATAAGCTCAAACTCTCAGTTTTCCTCCATTACTGCCTTGAGGCAATACAAAAAGGTCAGTTGTGTTTTCATACTTATGTCTTCATAGGAAATTTACATGTCATCACCACAGAGATTAACCCCAAAATCTGTTGAAGTCCAGCCAGCAGAAGGGTCATGGAACTAGAGACCAAGCCCTGGTCCATTTGCTGAATGAGGTACAGGCCACTGGAGGAGCCACTAAAGCAAGAAATGAAAATGTCAGGGACATAAATGGGCCTGGAAAAGCTAATGGAGGGCAAAAGAACTCTGATGTGTCAAAGACGAAGTCCACCAACATTTGTGTTAGGGAGAAAGGCATGCCAACTTTCAAGGAAGAGGGCAGGTGTTCTAGAAACAGTCCCTTGGATCTCAAACGTTTTCCAGAAAAGCTCAGGGCTGAGTTGCACCTACCCTCCCAAACACCCCTGCAGCTTTACCTACCCGCTGCCCTGAGCAGAAGCAGGTGATTATTCAACACGAAGGTGCCATAATAAGGAGTCATGAAGAAAGCAGGGCACCACTTATACTGTGTTACAGGTGTGAACTATAGCCTTTGTTCACATGCCCTCCAGCTGTTGCTAGTTGTAACACAATTGAGGGATTAGTTAAAGTGAGTTGGCAAAGCTGCAGTGAGATGATGAAAGGTGTATGCATACCCGGAAGGATCACGTTTGCCTCATTTCAGCACCATGTCGGTATGTTGTGTTGGGAAAGGTGCATCAGGATGCCCTTTGGCGCAGGCATAATCAAACAAACAAGTTCATTTCCAGGGCTTAGAGGAGGCAAGTGAAGGTAACATCTCAAGGACCAGCTTTCTGAAGGAAGACAGAAATGGAGAAGCTTGGGTGGGGACAAGACCAAAGGCTTGGTGCAGATCCTCCACCACACAACTCTAATCCTCTCTTTCCTTCCTATGCTCTCACGCACTGCTCTGACCTCACCTTTCCTGCCTCTCCCACCCTTCTCCTGGGAAAGCTGCCTTCGGCATACAGTTACATGAACACTTGCTACAATGGGCTGGGCAGCGCTCACCCTCCCTGCCCATCCCTGTCCTGCTGCTATTCCAGCCCTGTGCCCACGCAACTTTGCAGTGGGAGGGGAACTCTAGAAATAAGGTCACAGGAATGACCTGGGTTAAGAGAAAAAGTCATAAACTAGAATCATTTCAGTGATCTACTTTAGAGTCCCTTTTCAAATGATGGCAGCAACACAAGAAGATGGGCAGCAGCAGCAGCAAATATGGCTTTGCCAACAGGGAAAATGTTGGTGTAACTCCATCTAAAGTAACAGTCAACCTGGAGCCTTTTCCCTACTGCTAGAATCCTACTACTAGAATTTCCCTACTACTAGACTTCTGAGAGCATACAAGTGGAAGGGTTCACAAATCTCTCAAGTTGGACCCTTTGTACTTTACAGACTTGAGCTGTGTCTCTAATCTAACTCCTCCACAATAAGGCATTTTTTCAGCCCTTTATCATAAAGCCATAGAATGGTTTGGGTTGGAAGGGACCTTAAAAGGTCCCTTAAGTCAGGCTCTCTCCATTCGCTCCAAGATGGTGAGCAAAGGAGAGAAGTCTGGACTTTCTCCTTGACCAGTGAGCAGTTAAGGGAGTGAGCACCTCAAGACCCTGCTCCCAGCACACTGAAGCTCCCACTGACAGGAACTGTTGGGGTCTGCTTTGAGCTTGAGACAAGATGTGAAAGTACCTAAATTTCCCTCATCAGTCTGCTGTTATCAGCCCTTCTGGAATCCAAAATGGCAGATACCCATTGTTGCCAGCACTGGAATTCACTGACGATAACAGCTGAAGAACATTTCTGGAACCATATCCAAGTCTTCATCCATGCCGTACTCATCAAGCAGGTTTCCCAGAGCAGCACTGTGGCAGCCCTAACACCTCCTACGGTACCCATGCTCACTCTCTCCTAATAACACCTCTGTTGCAACTCCATCCACCAGCTCCTTTAGGCTCTAACTTTGTGGCTTGCTATTCCAAGACCTTCTTTTCCCTTTCTCCCACATACACTTAAATTTTTATCTTTCCTAAGACCTGTTCACTTTGAAGGACTTTGGAGATATTTGACTGTGAGGCATATGTACTACATAACCAACATCCACTGACTTGCATTTATCACAATAATTCAAATGGAAACAGTGAAAGATATCTATGTGTTTACACACCACCAAACCTGGTTACTGCAATACCACAGAAGTACATGTCTAGCCGATTCTTTAAGTCTCATTCACAATTGGTATCTTGGGGACTTTGCATACATTTTGTGAGGCTTGAGTGTTAGGTCTTTCCTATCTCTGCACCAAACCCATTATAAAGAACATAAAACCAAAGTGAGCAGCTCATGCTAGAGTGGTTATGTTTAACAATTTCCTGAGAAATTACTTTTAAAAAAACTGAAACATTCTGCTCCTCAAGAAACAGGTGAGCAGCAAGGGTCACAATTACATTAACCTTCACTGCAAGAATCTTCCACCTGCCTGCTGTCATTAACACTAATTTCCCATGAGCAACCTTCTGAAAGAGTCGATATGTGGATTTTTCAACAGATTAAAATCTTAACTCTCCAACCTGAGCCGAGATAACCCCAGATGGATGAGAGTCAGTTGTGTGCAAAATCTCTAAGAAGGTCATTTGTAAAATGATTTTGCCTTCTGGACATAATTTCCCAAATTAATCCAAAGTCTGAAGGCTAACCTTATCCAGCATTGCTGTGAGGCAAAGAGAACTTCAAAGAAACCTAAATTAGCACATAGACTGCGAAAGACTGAGAATAAACTTTCACATAGCAAGTAATTCCCAACTCTAACTACAGCAGGAAAGCTCTACAATCAACATCAGGTGTGGAGACCTATGGAAAGGCTGGAAAAGCTTATGAACTTTGTCATGGAAAAGTGGGCAGAAGGGAAGGTGGGTCAGGAAATAAACCCAATGTGTTTAGAAAGCAGGAGCTGTGTTGTTAGCCCAGATTCAAGTACCACTGGAAAGAAGTAGGACCAGGACTTTGAAAAGAGCTCATGTCCCAGTAAAAACCTCTGACAGCTGCTGAAAAAAACTACCCCTCATCCAGGAGGTGGCACTAAACCAAAACTGCAGAAAAAAAGGGAAGGAATAACAGAAAAGGATTGGAAAGACTTAAGGATTGTCATTGGGAAGCTGAATGTAAACATGCCAGGGAGTTTCAGAAGCAACCTCGCCAACAGGACTGAAGAATCAAAGCAGCTTCTTCTAAAGGCATCAAATTCAAATACCACAGAACCCAGGAGACTGCAATCCTGTGCATCCTGGCACAGGCCTGGCCAACACAATCACACATTGCTGCTGTGAGAGTGAGGTATTAGTGAAAAACATTGTTGAAATAAGCCAGTCCCTTCTTTTCCTCTAAGAGTTTCTTGTGATTCTGTTGCTTGGTCAGAAACGCTGGAAAAGAACAATGTATTTATTGAAAATCTGCTACTTACTTATTTGAATGGCCAAGAGGGTGTCTTGTAACAACAAATGAAACAAAAGATTAGGAAATAGGTGAAAAGGTAAATGCTTTTTTTAAACTTATGTTTCACTTAACAGAGGTCTCCAGAGTTTACAGTTCTACTGGAAAGAGACTCAGTTTCCAGCTCCCGATCTCTCTAGAAAGCACAGCCAAATTTATTGGCAATAATATCTGGCAAAAATGTCTAACAAAATTTATTTAGGCTATGTGGTAAAAAAAGTCACTTCTCCCATTCTAAAAGGTCTCATCTTACCTGTCAAGAGCTGGAGTTAGACGGTAATCTTTGGTTGCTGACAGGATGGCTTTGATCAGATTATCTGTGGAGAAAAAAGGAAGACATTAGGAACAAGTTCTCACTTCTAATGGAAATACAAACCAAAAAGTGATGTAAAGCATCTGAAGCAGTTACATGGAGGAACTGAAATAAGGTTCTCATTAGGAATAAACACTTTAACTTGCAAATTCCTAATTCCTCCCAACAATGACCTTCACGCACTAGCTGCAAATTCTGATGCAGTGTGCAACTGCCCTGCATGGAGAGTGTGACAGGGAACAAGCACAGTACAATTCATAGCAGTGATTTCAGACCCACTGCCCTGAGACAGCTGCTTCACAAACACCTCAGACATGGAAAAGCCAATATCACTGTCCCTGCTAGGAGCTGGACTAGATGATCCTCAAGGGTCCCTTCCAACTCCATATATTCTGTGACTCTGTGCTTACTTTCAGACAAGCTTTTTATGTAGCTCGTTGGTGAACTGAATGCAGGAACAGCACCAGGTTAAAACTGATGCTTTTTATTCTGTCACTTTCCGTTCAGGTTCATTTCCTCAGTCTTTCTTCATAGCAGAATCCAATTAAACCATCGTAACTGCTTAAAGAGATGCCCATGGAACACAGCCTACACTGATACTGGGTGAATGCTGCAGCAACCAGATGGTGTAAGATATGCCAAGTGTAGACACACACAGAAATTAAATGCAATAAATTGCAGAAGCACAATGATTACACGTAAATAATTCCATCAGCTATGGAAATTTTTGAGGCTGCCTGCTTCTAAATTTTGTCATTTGTCCCTAATATTTTCACCTCTCTTTCCCATAAACATCCAAAGTCCTTTTACCATGACCTGTCTAGGGCCAGGACAGCTGCAGTGCTCTGGCTAGTCTGGGTTTACATATGCACCAGTAACTTCAGATTGTCTGGATTCATAGAATCATAGAATCAACTGGGTTGGAAGAGACCTCAAAGATCATCAAGTCCAACCCTACTGTCATTACTAGACCATGGCACTAAGAAAGTCCATCTGCCTCCAAATCCTAATTATATTTGTGGTCTTACGCAGATGCCCAAGAGGAGCATAAGAACAAAGCAGACAGACATAGTATTTCCCTGCAATTCTCTTCTATAATTATTTTAAAATCAGGGACTTCGTGTGCCATGTATAGCTCCTATGAATCTGGCAATCCTCAGTGACTTTGCTTCCATGAGCTCAGAATCTTCCTGGTCCGTATTTTGAATATGGCTTCTCTGAGCTTCATTTATACTGGAAAAGATTATGAACAATGCATCCCTGCCACTCTCCTTGGGAGAGTGTAAATATCTATCATATCCTTCCCTGAAATATATCAGCCAACTAGTTCAGACATTCTTAGGAAACAACCAGTCAAAATGAATAATTAAGTCTCATTTCTTTACAAAAGACTGAAAATTACACAGGAACATTAAGACAACTGACACCAAGTGATCTTTAACAGTGAACTTAAATAGCTTTCCTGACAGGCAGCACTTACTGTAATCAGCACAGTTAGGGGAGACCCTTTCAAATAAAGAATTCTGTGCTTATCTACTGCATCCCTCCACAGAAAGTACAGGATGAATATGTGGGATGAACACATGGGCTCAAGGCAGCCCATCTGCCAAACATCTCTGAACCCAACAACAAGCCGGTGAGACACACAAGGCAGACAAACAAAGGTGATAAACAGAAAATTCTGACAGTTACTTTGAGATTTGAAAAAGTTTTTGACATGGCATCACCGACAGCCCCGCCAACCATTACAAGCTGGGAACTGTGATTACTTTCAGAAGATCGTATTTTGGAGTGGAGCAAAGAGCAACTTATAAGGGTAAAAGCAACTTACTGTGATAACAAAATAGGGGGTTTGTTTAATTTTCCTTCATCTGAAGAATTTCTTTTGACACACTGGCAGCAGGCTCCCCCTCCAACAGGAATGCTAGTTCTCCAAATCTGCCGTAACAGCAGTAGGTTGCTGTGACCTCTAATGGCACAATGCCACAGTCCTCTCCTTGGCCTGTCTCATACGTTGACTTTTACTGGACAGTATATGTTACTGTCATTCTCTTCCCACACTCAGAAAAGAGATGAAAGGATTGCATGTCAAGGGCTGCAACCTCCCATCTACCAAGCTTTTCTTATGCCAGGTTTGCTCTACCACCCACAGGTTACACCCTGCACTACTTGGAGACCATCCGATAGACTATTTAAAAAAGCATATTAAAACAATACCATTGAGTAATGTATTCAATTCTGTTTTACTCATCTTGCCAGCTAATTAGTAATGCCTTCACAGTGAATGCTCAGGAATTAAATACAACTGCTTTAAGAGTGGATATGGCAGCATTTGGAATGGAGATGCTTCCCATTCCCATCCTCCAGAGGGAAAACACAAACAAAACAAACAACGATATAGAACATTCAGTACAGATTATGAATGGCCAAATGGGAAATATCCCTTCGGCAGCCCCCAAGAACACATGGCATCCAAAAGGTTTGAAAGCTGCACAAATCACAGTGTTATCATTCAAAACCGCTGAATGAAGCACAATAAAAGACAAAGTACTTCACTGCCAAGTATTCACTCACAGAAGGAATGAAGGTGGCACCAAGTTCATCTAGTCTAGCCCCTTCACTGGAAGACAGCAGGAGCTACAAGCACTAACAGGAAAAGCTAATGGCCTGGGCAGGGGAGGGGGACTAGATCTTCTGGTTGAGCTGGAACTCTACTAGAATATGGTCACTACACTGCTGCTGAGGTGGACACTTGCACTTGGCACCTTGCCAACTTGCCTCTGGCACCAGGATTGAAAGACAAGACCTTCTCCAGAAGGAGCTTCTGTATCTTCTTGGGGAAAGGTTTGAAGGATCAGATGCTGCTGCTGTGGCTGATCTGCAACTTTGCACAAGACTATGAAGGAATAAGGAACCACTGGCAGGATCTTTTACCACAGTTGGGGCAAGGTGGAGGGCCACTTGAAACCGCCACTGTAAAGACTACTATCACAGATAGGACAGCAAGACACAAAGCAGTGTTTGTCTCCAGACTATGACTGAAGAAAACTGGGCACCAGGAAAGCAGGCGCAGGTTCAAGTACCAGGATTTGTGCACAGCCACTGACTGAGTATAGATCTGTCAAGGACTGAAAGATTGCAAGGATAAAAGAAAGGCCAAGTCTTTTTTCTAGACCTCAACCACAGCCTGCACCAGTGTACGCACAACATGGTTGGTATTCCCAAGATCTAGGCAATAACTGACCTGTTCTGTTTTCATGCAGTGGTTTCTGGACAAATTCAAATAAACCTGTGGCAGAAAGGCTACCAAACCAGTTTTGGTGTTGTACACAATCATGTTAAACTTCTAAATAACTTACACTAACCCCTTACCTACTTTAGTAGCAAATCTGATCAGCAGCAGACCTGGCATGCTGCACCTTAGCCACAGAACCCCTCTGCTGGGGTGGGACAGCAGTGGGAACAGCTGGCACCCAGGGCAGCAAGTTTCTCTGGGGTAGGCATATTCTGATGGGAGAGGGATAGAGCTTGGGATGGGGACCTAGCTGTATTGAGCACACCAAAGAACAAAGAACAGAGCAACCCAATATCAGTGTTTCAGGGGAGCACATAACTACCAGCTTTTCTCCATTCATCCATCGATCTTCTTTTCTTTCGTTAAAGACACCAGTTGTGTAGAGCCCTCGCTTTAACATGAACCCACACTTAAAACAAAGATTGTATTATCAGGGGAACAACTATGCAAACAATTTGTTTTGAAATTTTTTTTCAGCTAATTTACTGAGGCTGTGAAGAAACCATGGCATGGATGCAGACACAATGTGAGCCCAGGCACAGCTTCTCTTTTGGTTGGTAAGTGAGAAGAACAGAGTGGTGGTTGTGCTCTGTGTTGTACACCTGTGAACCAAGGAGAGGCCAGGAAGGGCCTGAGTATACATGTTCGCAGCACTACAAAGGAAAAAAGTCCTTCCTGTTACAAGCAACAGATACGTATGCACTCACTTCTTGCTTCCAGGGGCCCAGGCATACAGCCAGCTCAGGTCTAATAGAATTCATTAGCTCAGACACATCCTCATTCAAACAGGTCTTGAGGGCTGTTTCCAGTCTGGGAAAATTTCAGCTACTTTTGTTCAATGGAGAACACCAGCAAATCAGCCCAGCAGACATGTCTCAGTTCCATACGCCCAGAAAGATGAACCATGGACGGTGCAGAGACCTGCACGGCACCATGGAAGGTCAGGTCAGACCACGCAAAACCACGTACTTCTTCCCTGTCACTCTCTTCCCCTAACCAATAGAGATAAAAGGTAAATTTATCTCTGAAAAGCATTTAATCCTTGGCCTCCTCCCAGCTGCCAAACAGGCAGCCCAGCAGGTGCCAATTAGCTGCACGCTTTGTGAAATACAAACTTCCCACTGGAAACTGAATTCAAACAACAAACTTGTCTCATGCAGATCATCCAACAGCCATTCAGTGGCCATAGTTTTGGCAACCACTTCAAGGCTGAGCAAACTCAATAGCAATACTGATTCCCACACACTGTTCCTCCTATTGAACCTCACAAGATTCAAGACAGATGTTTTCAATGCTAAATGCTTCCCCCAGTCTGCAGTCAAACACTGATGTTTAAATAGCAGTGGCAGTGCCATCACTCCTTAGGGTTACCAATGTGAGCTGCCCTGGGAGGGGCACATATTGCAGGAGCAGCTCACTGGTAGCTCGTTTCTTATGTGTGTTAGATACAAAAGCTCCCATCAGAAAGAGCAAATTGTAATGCAGTGGTTCTGCTTTACCTGAAACCATCTATACGGCAGGCCTAAGAACACAGTGTGCATACATACGTTATATACAGGGAGGAGCATTTGTGCTGTTTAATTCTCGTTGAAATATTAGACAAGTGAACTTACTTCAACAGTAACAACATGTGGCGTTTATACAGCTCCTTTAAGTCAAAGCTATGAGGCGATACATATACATGCACATGTGCACACACATGCATAATC